ATAATTATGAAAGCGGAGACTTTAGAAACCCATGGTAATATTTTATTTCGCAAAAAAACATGTTACTGTTTCGTCTCATTACACCAAACGGTTTCCACAATAAATGGATTCAAAAGCTATAATTATTATAATGAATACGAAGACTTTAAAAGATCATCAAAGCGAAAATTACACAAAATCTTTTATCTAATTTTCGGTCTGATGAGTTGGAATCGAAATTTCGATTCTAATGAAATGCATATCATCATGATGCTTTAAAGTCTTTGTTTTCATGATAATAATTATTATATGCTCTGTGTTTGACATTGAGCCCTTTTTGGATCTATATTCTTTTTGGAATTATCCATATGGATTACAAAAAAATATTATATATATATATATATATATATATATATATATATATATATATATATATATATATATATATATAAGTTAAAGTGGAAAAGCTATACGATTTGGTCGTCATCGGCGTCAGATAAGGTTATTGCAATATTGGCATGATGCTGATTAAATATTATTATTAAATATTATAAAATGAATAAAACCTCTTGAAACTTCTCGTCAGTCACGGATAAGTATTTGAATAATAATAATAATAATAATAATAATTATGATTATTACTCAAGTTATCTATTGAACATATTTATTGCCAACGTTTTGTTCACCTTGACATCAGTGTTCTTCTTATATATGAATATAATGTATTATGAATATAGATAATTCTAAAAGTAATTACATGCTTATTATATAAATAGCAAGAATATGACATTGCATCTAATTATATATATTAATATACATAACATTAATATATTGTATAAAAAATCTATTTATAATAGCATGCAAACATACAGGCTTAAACACACGCATATATATATGTATATATATGTGTGTGTGTGTGTGTACACGTCAAAATAACAACGTTTGTTATTTATATGCATCGTTAGTATTTATAAAGAAAATATGCATAAATATATTTATTTATGCATATTTTCTTTATAAGCTGTACATTTCTTTCCGAATATGCTGATTTGTCACAAACAAATGACTAACATAAAAGTCATGAAGTTTTCAATGATTGTATCATCATTTCCTTTAGATCTTTCCCGCGTAAATTATGTGTGATTACCTCATTTCCTTAAAACATTCTGTTTGAATATTTCGAAAATAATAATAATAATAATAATAATAATAATAATAATAATGAAAATAATAATAATAATTTGGCATGAACGTACCAAATGACAAAAGCATTTCTGCGAAGGCTTTTTAAAAAATCTAAGCAAATACAAAGACCTGGAGACAGTGGTGTAGGTAGAGGGAGCCAAGTGGGCAATCTGTGTTGGGCTGCGCTCTTGGTCCGCTCCTCTGAGTTTTCAGAAAAAACAAAAAAAAAACAAAAAAAAAACAATAGCATAATTTCATTAATTTTTGAAAAAAAAAAAAAAAAAAGCAGCGATAAAGAAGAAGAAGATAGGGTTCAAATGAATCCAATTTGTCTTTGATACGGCTGGCTAAAAACCAAACAGCCAGCCAGCAACAAAAACAAAATGTCTCCAAAACTGGTGGGGATACAAGACGTGAGCACAAGACGAGCAAAAAGTGTGAAAAAAATTTGAACATTTTTAAAGGGCTTGATGTGGGGTTGGATTAAGTGAATTTAGTGAATCCACAGTTTTTTTCACACCTATGTGAGAAGTCCAAACTTTGGCATCAGTTCTTTGATTTTGATTTTTCATGTCTGTGAACTGTTAGAGAAAAAAAAAATTAAAAAAATAAGTGAACCAATTGTTTTTTTTCATCTTATCATATGCCTAGTTTTAGGGATATAAAATCGTTACTTTTCATAAATTATAAAATAGATAAATAAACTAAAATAATTCCAATGCTTTAATGATATCATTTGCATTCTAATTTTTCCCGGAAATATCGAACAGAAATTTAAAAGACAATTGAAAATTAATATTTTTTTCTAAGTGCAGAAAATGGGCATTTTTTCAATTTTTCAATTTATAAGTTTACACGGCAGTAAAACAATGTGATGTTTTTTTTTTGTTTAGATAGTCGAAGTTTTATTAAGCAAAATAGACTAAGAATTAAAAGTATTTATTTCAGTTTTAAGTGAAATAAATTTTATCGGATTTAGTTTTAATTTATGACTCCTCACTTGTTAGAATTGAAATAAATATATAAAAAAACAACAAAAAACAAAAAAAAAACCAACAAAAAACGGATAAATTTTGAATTAAAATTACAATGTGCATTTTTGTTTTTGTTTTTCTTTTTAAATAAAACAGAGGGTATATAAGCAAAAACAAGTTATCTTTCTTTTAATATCGTAAAAAGTTTTTAAAGTTTTCCCGAGTTAGAAAAAAAAAATGTTGTAATTGACATCTTTGATAATGGCTTATGTAAGCTGAAAGCTTAGATTGTATTAAAAAATATGGATCAATGTTGTGAATTTCTTTCTTCATTCAATGATAATGCTATTAAACTTAGACGTTATGAGTTTACATAAAATAAATAGACAACACTTATATTATTTAATGAAACGTGTATGAATGAAAAGATGCTGCCTAAATACACATATATATATATATATATATATATATATATATATATATATATATATATATATATAATAATAAAATTCAAGAGCAATTCTGTGGATAAGACAAATTGGTAGAAGAAAGATGACAACAAGAAAAAACATCTCCAAAATTTAAAAAGAACCGTAAAAGAAAAAAAAATCTCTTAGTATAAAGTAAGTTAACATTTACCAGAAAGTGGCTTACGCAAAAGCATTTCTTTTTAGATTTTGGATTTTAATGTAACTATGAAAAAAACATTTCGCTTCAATTTTGCTTTGATAAAGTCGGAAGATGAAACGTGAAAGATGTTTTGCCTACCTTGGTTCCTTTATTCGAACCATATTTGGCACAATAAAATCAGACATAGTATATATATATATATATATATATATATATATATATATAATTATTTATTTAAAAATATGATTCCAACACGCTACATAAGAGTTCTCATGTTTCAAAACAAGAGCCGAAAACTTCAATATAATTGTTTGAAATAAATTGAATTAAAGTACTAAGCTCTGTTTCCATCTTCAAGCGAAATTTTTTTTTTGAATAACTTATTTTATATATATATATATATATATATATATAACTATATATATATATATATATATATATATATAATTATTTATTCGAAAATTATAACATAAATATGTTATAAAATCACTACAAAAATGGCCATTTTGTTTCCAACACCTCTGGTGTCTTATCAAGATGATGTTGAATGGAGAATAGATTCAACATCATCTTGATAAGACACCAGAGGTATTGAAACAAAATGGCTATTTTTGTAGTATTTATAATTATATTTATATTATAATTTTCGAATAAATAATTATATTTGCTCTGTATTGAGCACTCTTTTAAGAATAGTAATTTTTGGTTATTGGAATTTATTCCGTATACACCAATCCTATACTTGGGCATATATATATATATATATATATATATATATATATATATATATATATATATATATATATATATACCGGGTGTAACAAGCAAAATTGTCCAAATCGTGTAACAGTAAAATTGTCCCATTGTTAGATTCAGCTTTGGACTGTTGTATCTTAGAAATGATTAAAGATATCTTACTGGAATTTTTCGAGATTTTTAAAACACTATTAGACTCTACTTTGAACAACAATAACGTATTTGGTCCTAAGTTGATAATTCTTCTTGTTGTTGTGACCTGATCCAGTTTTCCTCTATATTGTCCCCTGATTTTTTTTTCAAACTTATTCATCATTCTCTTGATGGTTCTTGAATGAACTTTGAAGATGGAAGCCAGAGTATCAATGATCGCACCATTACTGACGGCCTGAAGCATCTTTTTCCTCTCACCATTGCTCTGTTGGGAAGACAAGGTGGGGCTGTGTTTTAACGATTTTAACCTGTACTCTCTCTAGCTGGATAACTCAAAGGGATTTTCAGTGATTCTTACGACAAATGGTGCCAAAATGTCTAAACGTTTTTTTTCTGAAAACCTGCAAAAAAGAAATTCAATTAATCTTGTTGTTTTTTTTTTTTTTTAGATATTAAACCTATTATGGGATGGACAATTATCCCATGCTATTACACGATTTGTACAATTTGCTGTTACACCCGATATATATATATATATATATATATATATATATATATATATATATATATATATATATATATATATATATATTTCAGTTGAATTAATATAACCTACATCTAAATTGGGGACAATGGAGGACTGTTAGAATAGCTATGACACACCGTGCCACGTCCGTCGATGGAGTCAAATCACCTGTTTTTCCTCAATATTCAAAATGTGAGAAGACAGTTCCACACAAAATTTTCCCTAGAACGTTTACTTTGTGAACCAGGCTCCTGCATGGGTACTTCCGTGAACGATTCAATCTTATCCGTTTCAAGTCAAGTGTGAGTCACCAATTAGCCTCCTTATACCCATAATCTCCACTTTCAACACCTTCTCTTACATTCCTTTTACACATTTCATTTAGTATTCCTCCACTTTGAACAGCTTTCGAGTGCTGTATTCAGAAAAGTTAAAATAAAATAATAATAAAAAAAAACTGTTAGGATGAAATTCGTATCTTGTATCCGAAGTTTTTTTTTTTAGTTGGTTTTCTATTGACAACGTTTTGCTAATTCGGCTGCTGCACTTTACCAGAGATTAAAATCTTACAAATGTTCTTCGTGGAAATGGAACCATGTGTGATCCCCGTTCAGGCCGACATCACAGAAATTGAAACAAAATTTAAAAAAAAAAAATATTGCAAAAATTTGTCCTGTTTCTTCAATAATTTTTTTTTCTTTCAGAAACTGTAATTACTGTCAACACGCGGTTAATATTTCAGTTTTTTCACATCATAATTTCCGCCGGAAGTGACTCACTGACCTAGTTCGGACACAATGGCGGAATTCCGGCCAGTAGGTAATTTTCATCGTTCTTTTATACTTATTTCGTTTTGTGTAAATAATTTTTCTATACAATTTCGACATCATTGTTATAATTGTGGCTTTCTTTTCTTTCTTTCTTTTTTTCTCTCTTTCTTTCTTTCCTTTCTTCCTGTGCAAACGAAAAGCGAGACGTATGAACTTATCCCGCCCCTTCCAGTTAATCTCTCTTTACCACTTTCTATGTCATCTTGTTTATCACTGTCAACCATTTTTATCTTCCCCTCTCTATCTCTTAGTATTCCTATACTAGTCTCTCTGTATATCTACCTACCCCAGTCTGTTTAAAACTTTCGCACTGTCCAGTATCTATCTATCTATCTATCTATCTATCTATCTATCTATCTATCTATCTATCTATCTATCTATCTATCTCAGTCTGTTCTTTATCTATCTATCTATCTATCTATCTATCTATCTATCTATCTATCTATCTATCTATCTCTGTTCTTTATCTATCTATCTATCTATCTATCTATCTATCTATCTATCTATCTATCATAGTCTGTCCCTTCTTAACTATCTATCTATCTATCTATCTATCTATCTATCTATCTATCTATCTATCTATCTCAGTCTGTTCTTTATCTATCTATCTATCTATCTATCTATCTATCTATCTATCTATCTATCTATCTATCTAAAGAGGCTGCATTCTGCCACATATAAGTTGAAGTCGGTGAATATGCACGGAAAAACGTTGACGTTCCAAAGAGAGTTATTGTCACTTGATATTCGGATAGAACCACCAGACATATTACAGGAACACGCAGATGCTTGCAACAACAACAAAAGCAACAACGGCAACAACAACAACAACAACAACAACAACAACAACTACTACCGTAGAGAGAGTAATAATTGGATCGAATACCGTGTGCGAATAGCAAGCAGGACCGATATGATTAATAATATTTATTCATTGTGTGATATTATCGACCGTAATTAAAAGCTTGTTTTATTCTAGGTGTTCACTAAAGTCAACCCAAATATAATTCAAGGAAAAACTCTCCCAACACTAGTAACTTTACGTGTTTGCTAGATTAACGTTAATCCAGAAACTCTTTCGTCTTTATGAAACGCCTAAAAAAATCGGAACGGATTATCCCATTTTTAAAAAAAGTCTCCCTGCTTTAACATCGGTTAGAAAACAACACGTACAAAAATCTCACTCAATCTCGTTGAGGGCAATTAACTTAATAGCCTCCTCCGATCACTTATTTTTCCTATATGTCTAAATTTTTGGAAAGTGGAAATTTCACTAAAATACAGTGGGGCAAATAAATATTAGTTGCAATAAAATAATAATATATAATAGTTACTAATATTTTAGTTATAACTTATCAAAAAACTTAAAATCTATACAATATTTCTGCACCATTGCATAATGCTGCAACATGCAAGAAAACTGTGTTATAAATGAAATTATGTGCTATTTATAAAATTGCGAGGCGAAAAAAGTATTCGTACAAATATGTCTTTAATATCAAAAGGCTTAAATTTATTTTTATTTACATAATTCTTCGTAAGATTTTGCTAGATTCTTCCAATTATGTTATTACCCGAACAATCTAGAACATTCCATAATTCATTTCTTATATAAGGTTATCTCCACACAAATCATACACAATAATATACAGAATTTGTATGTCTAGCCGTCTGAGCACGACTGCTCGGCCTCTAACAGCGTGAGTCTTTCCCAGGTTTGTGTCTGACAGTTTCCAGGAAGCACTAGCATTCTCACGCGCATCTCAAGTTAAGTGGTAAGGCAACCTTGGTACAATACACTTTGCCTCGAGTCCGTTTGTGTCTGTGAAATCTTTCTTTAAAATACCCTCAAGATGTCTATGAAGAGGAAATTGTGCCAAGAAGGAAAGAAAGGCTATTAATCTCAAAAATGTCAACAAACTTCCGAGCTGTTTCCTCATATGCATTCGCTATCTCTCCAGTCACCCGAACATTGTGAATTTGAAATCTTGAATCTCTTGAACAAGACAGTTCTTGCTACAAATTCTCGACTCTAGTCTTTTCTTTTGCCTCTAGCTAGGACCGAAACCCGGCTGAATTTGCGTCAGTCGGAAAGTCTACTACTAAGCACGGCAGGGATGAAAGTGAATTTAAGCGTATTTATTTTTAAATAAAGACACAGTGACTGAGAGAACTCGATACGATTTAACGAAGTGTCTTGCTTTATTACACTGATTACAAACCCCCACACTTCCTCCCCAGAGAGCACAACCGAAATACATTTTCAGGAGCATATATATTGTCATTCACACACACACACACACACACACACACACACACACACACACACACACACACACACACATATGTATATATATATATATATATATATAATTCTTTATTTAAAAAAAATTATAACATAAATATGTTATAAAATCACTACAAAAATAGCCATTTTGTTTCAACACTCGCGGTGTCTTATCAAGTGATGATGTTGAATGTAAAATAAATGGTTTTAAAAGTTTCGAATTAATAAACAATCCTTCACAAGGGGAAAACGTTGTTACAAAAGCTAGATGGACCAATCAAAATACAAGTATAGGAAAATTCTTATATATATATATATATATATATATATATATATAATTTATAAAACTATATATATATATATATATATATATATATATATATATATATATATATAAATATATTCCATCGAACCTATTCATTTCATAATGTGTGACGTCATTTATTTATATTTGGATACGCATCGAGCAGATATGAATGTATGAGAGAAAATCATGGAGAATTGTGGTTTAAAAACAGTAAAATCGACCTTGCTAACCGAAACGCTCCTCTGTGGCTCAATGGGTAAAAGCACGTCAGGCTATATGACGGTTCCATATAGGATACAGGTTCGATTCTTGTCGGCGGACGCATATTTTCTATAAAAAATTTTCGGACATTCATGCCGCTAAATGTTAATACTGTTTATTATAAACAGAGCATTTACTTAAATATTTGTATCTATAAAAAGAACAAAGAACGTCACAATGTCTTAAATATATATATATATATATATATATATACGCACTATGTGTCGGAAGTCAAGCGACTACGACCACACAAATAATAACAATCAAAATAAAATAAAAAAAAAAAAAAAAACAAACAAATTAATGGCTAAAAGTGAATAAGTGTAAAACTTTTGTTGGTAGAAACGGGGAGATATCAATGACATGATTATATATATTTTTTATTTCTGTCAAAGCGATGTGTCAACATTTCTTGACAGTGAAACCAGCGTGTTTGGTCATGTCATTAACTATATTTAAGACTTGCAGCAAGGGCGTGAAAAAATTCTTTCTTTCTTTACAATAATCAAAGGCCCAAGAGCTACTCGAGGCAGAGAGTTACAGAGTAAGGCACAGTTTATGGGAACATGTGGGGAAGATAATGTTTAACCCTAAGACTTAAACAGATGAAGAAGAGATTTGAAGCAACAGAAATGTATCTCTACAGACGGATGCTGAGGATACCATAGACCGAATATGGGGGCAACGTCGAAGTTTTAGAGAAAATGAAAATAAAAAGGACATTTATCACCAGAAAGAGACAGTAAAATTTCTAGGGCACATAATGAGGAAAGAGGGATTGGAAAATTTGATACTCACAGAACATATTGAAGGCAAGAGGGACAAAATGTGAATAATGTAAAGAAAGAAAGAAAGAAAGAAAGAAAGAAAGAAAGAAAGAAAGAAAGAAAGAAGAAGAAGAAGAAGAAGAAGAAACAACAACTTTTACTATCTTTTGCTTAATTCTTTATAGATGAACGGAAGTCTTTTCGTTCAAAATTCAAGCCTCAACCTGCACCACATCCTTATAGGGGATTTCATTTGATCTCTTGACTCTAATCACGTGAGGAAATCCGCCGAGACATTGAACGTTAATTGATTTAAACTGATATGATTGTAAACATGAATAACAATAAAACGTTTTATTTACAAGAATCACAGGTAATAAAAATAACAAAAGTTGAATGAAGTTTATAGCGACGTCATAATAAAGTTAAGAAATGAATTCTTTACACCTTTTACTGTTCAGTCGACACATAAAGAATAGGTAGTGAATTTTTACGTAGTCTCGCAAATCTTTATGTATGAATGTAGACAGCTATGGAGATATCTACATTCTAGACACTGGAAGGAATATTAAATTAAATTTACTATGTTGCTTTGAACGTGTAAGAATGTTAATTATCTTTGAGAAGAATGCTCGCTCAACATTGAGTTGAGATTGAGAAGGTGACGTGTTCAGGCGAGCAAAAAAGTAGAACCAAAAGAATGGACAAGAGGGAAAAACTTTTATTCTGTTTAGTATAAAGAACGAAAGTAGGTGTAAACTGGGATATTCTTACCATAGTTCTTGTAAAAAAAGAAAGAAAGGAAAAAAAAAGAACTGAAGGTAGTCGAACTTTGCTGTTGAGTGATTTCGTAGTGTGTCTAGGCTATGAGGAGATTCATGTCCAACCGCGTTCGCAGTGCTCTTTGAAAAGATGGCTTGTCTCTTGAAATTCCCTACAGTTTTTTATGCATAACCAGGAAGCGTAGGGTCGTTGCTGCCAATAGGGTTTTTAACGCATGCGTGTCTAATCAAACAGGGTACATCAGTGACGTAGCTAAGGGGGGGGCGACCGCCCCAAGTGACAGCACAGGAGGGGTGACACAATATTACCCCCAACAAAATTTTTCAACCAGGCTAAGGTGTCAAAAATAGTCTGAAAATAGTGGTGGAGTCACAGGGTTTCGCAGGCTGGCATATGAACCCCCCGGGAAAAATAGCAATGTTTTCAGCTTTTGATTTGAACTGAGTAACGTACAGGTCAGTAGAGTAAAGTAGAGGTAGAGCATGTATGAAAATTTAGCTACAGCTAACCATTCAGCATAGGGTGAATCGGGGTCATTGGGGTGACATTTGAGCGGACCGCCCCGGGTGACGTTTACTCTAGCTACGCCACTGGTGTACATGCTGAATGGTTTACACATAAGAAATTGCTGTGTGGCAATCAATGAAAACACAGCATACATAGGATTTAAAAATTGATCTAACGTACATACATATATACATGTATATGGTGGCTGTTGATTCATAAAGCGAGTATGACCATCACTGACATGTCTAGCCTTTCAGTTAAATTCCACTCACAACACTGCATTCACAAGTTGTGTGAACGACAGTGGCTCGTAAGTGTCATCTGTATTTCTTGTCGCATGTGTGGCATATCCAATCAGTACATACATATATGCTCGCCCTGGGTATGACGATAAACTACATCCGCGTCCTGAGTAAGACGATAAACTAAATACAACAGCAAGGTCTCTGATCAGGTAGTTTTGAGGACGGTGGAACCATCTCTTAATTGCTGGTGTTTCCAGGTCCACCCTGTCCCGTGGTGGTAACACCTGTTAGGGTCCCAGCTATGGGCAAATAGTTAACCCTGAAACTGAGGTAAAAAGCATTATAAAAGTGTAAAACTAGGTTTTAATACCAGAAATAATTTGTAAAAAATTATTACCAGAAATAAGTTTTTGAAGAAAAAAACCCCAAAAAACCCCCCTATGACCAGCAATATATTTTTGAAAAAAAATATTACCAAGAATATATTTTTGAAAAAAAAAACAACATATTACCAGCAATACGTTTTTGAAAAAAAAAAAAAAAATACCAGCAACAAATGTTTTAAAATAATATTACCAGCTATACATTTTTGAGGAAAAAAATATTACCAGAAATAGATTTTTGACAAAACAAAATATTACCAGAAAAAAAAAAAAGTTGCCGGCATTAAATAACCCATTGAGGTTGATATGACGTAAAACACAACAAACAAACAAACAACAAACTGAAGAATTAAAATTCACCAGAAAATAAAAATAGGGAAACCGTGGAATTTTCTCGGGTTAAAACTAGTATATATTTAATTCTCGGTCCATTCCAAGATTGTTGGGTTAGTCAGTAGCCGTATTCAACCGTCAAGAAATAAGACATAAGCGCATTTTCTGTGGAATTATTTTGAGAGCGGAGGATGTGCACTTAATACAATATCTGTTTGTAAAGACAGAAATATCTTCCACCTTACAAGAATTGAAGGCTTTAAGGCTGGATTGAGAAAGACACATAACGATATTGCATATATGTATATATGTCTCCACCTTGTAAAAGGTTTTAAGTTTCCTGAGAATTCACAGAGGTTTCAAATCAGAAATGATGAACTGCAGACACCCCTGGGGGGTGAAACCGAAAAAAGAATTTCATGTGTTCAGCACCTGAGAAATTTCGCAAAGGCACGATTGTGGCATGATAATAGTTGGCATATGTGAAAACAAGGCCCTAGGATACAAAATACCAAAAAAAAATACATATATATATATATATATATATATATATATATATATATATATATATATATATATATATATATATATATATATCATATTATCAATAAAAAACGAAGGATTATTTACGTATTTTGGTAATTTGTGTAGAATTAGAGTGTAGAAGCTGTGCACCCAGTGAAATGTTTTACACGCACTAATAATTTGATTTTTGATCTATCTATCTATCTATCTATCTATCTATCTATCTATCTATCTATCTTTTTTTTCTGTTCATTATCTATCTATCTACCCATAGGCGCCTAATACAAGGTTGGCTAATAATCGACCATTGAGGTCGGATTTAAATATACGGTGATAAAGTAATGGTAGAGTAATGGATAGCGGCTCGGATTAAGGAATCGGAGAGCCGAAATCAAATTCCAGTTGCAATCCATTACATTCACTTACGTGCTAATACTCTTGCTATGGGTGAATAGCAGAACAGACCGTGTTCTATATTCTTAGATAGCAACTGGTCTACCTCAGAAAGAAATGGCAACCCACTGCGGAAAAAATCTGCCTCATCAGTCATGTATTGAAAGATATATGATCGCTTAAGCGTATATCACGCATGGCACATAACTGACTGATATATATATATATATATATATATATATATATATATATATATATATATATATATGTGTGTGTGTGTGTGCTTGTAAATATTTATAAGTAAGGATTTCCCCACTGTTAGGCAGCCCATATATAGTCATCTTCACAGATTGCTTTAGATACACTTGGATTCAAAGAGCTTTCCCTGATTGAAAAATATTAATAAAAGGCATATTGACTTTAGTAAGACTTCTTGATCCATAGCATCACTGTTTAAAAAGACACACACACACACACACACACACACACACACACACACACACATACATATATATAACGCAGTGCTGAAGAGATTACAGTGTAACAAAGATTCAGTTACAAAAAAAATAACGACGCTGGTCATATTTTTGGATGTGGGTCAAGCAATAAATTTTCAGCACCTTCTGATATATATATATATATATATATATATATATATATATATATATATATATATATATATATCCTTTGTTAATGACGACTGACAATGTACTGGGATTAAGTTTTTTTATTTATTATTGTGTATGTACAAGTGTCCAAATGTTCTGGGTAAGGGTCTCTGACTGATGTCAAATCGGTCAAGTTTCGATCCCGACTTGAAGCAATCGGTTGTCTAATCACACTGATGAGCTGTGATACAGCGAAACAGTATGTCTGTGGATGATATATACAGTGTAACCCGGATATAAGAGAAACCCGGATATAAGAGAGATTTTCTCTGGTCCCAAATTAGAGCTTGTGTTAATGTATATAAAATAGACCAAACCCGGATATAAGAAAAACCCGGATATAAGAGACTTCTTCTCCCGACAACTCTCTTATATCCGGGTTACACTGTATATATATATATATATATATATATTGACAAATTTGAGAACTGTTTTACTGACTTGATTTCGCGTTTTGCCATCGTCAAATCGGGCCTTTTGAGATCAGAACGAAAGAAAATATATATATATGTGTCTGTTTCAATATTAGATCGATCATATTTTTCCCGCTAAGCTAGCGTTCCTCGGTCGAGATGAAAGAACAAAATTGACTTTTCTGCAAAAACCCTTATTTTAATTTATACTGTTTTCATTTCTTTTCAATTTTCTTGTTTGAACAAAGTATCTATAAACAAAAACATTTTTTTTGTTATCCTCTGCGAGCCGCAATGATGGAAAAAGCATTTCCTCGCACCATCGCCAGTGAGACATGCTGCAAGAGCCACCCCGTTTCGCGAGGCTCATCCCTTAATCGAGACGCAATCTCGCCAACCCTCCGAAGGAAAGCCATCGAACGAGGGCCAGTAACAACAGAAGTCTTCACTGCCACAGGAGTAGAAATAAATCTGTCTGCAAGAGACGAATATTTAACTATTTTTTATCTCCGCGTCCCGTGTGATGGACCCCGGCTCAACCACGGACCTGATCAAGTTACCTGTCGAAAATGTATCGGCACAGGCCGTATCCCAAATTAACGACTTCCCCACTTTAAAAGGGAAAATGGTGATCACATCCGACCGCTTTCCATCACCATGGTCGTGGCCTACGGGTTCGATTTAGGAGAGAAACCCAGCTGCATCTAGACCTCTTCTGATGATATCGTTTATTGCTGCATGCCTTGGAAAGCGGCCGGTACTACGACGACAGGAGAGAGGATGCAAACCAAACTCATCAATGGAAGCTCCACATCTACATCTGTGACGCTCACATAATTTGAGCCAAAGATGGATCGCCACTCCGATCCGAGTACACTCATCATCTAGAAGGGGACCGGTAGATGAGGAGGACACTGTGTTGAACTAGGCGCCACTACCCGGCTGTGAAGTAGATAGTAGACAGACGAGTCGATGCTGATCCAGAGAGAACGTCAAATTAGTAAAATTGGCCTGGCATTTTCATGTTTTGTTGTAGACAATTGACAGTTTAGACATATCTGACATGCTTGAAATACTTATGAATGTCAAGGACAAGCAAGATTATTTAAGAACATGATTTGAGTTTTTAAGTTAAGGTTTTGGTTTTTTATCAACTTACGATGTTGGCTAAAAGTGACCCTAGCGCAACTTATCCTGTAGTCAATTTCCTTTTCTCTTATAATAGATTTGTTATAACTGATATATAAACACCAACTTCCAACAACAGCTCAAAAATACACTTTCCGAAATAATAAAGATTCCTGAACAAAAAATCTGTATTTCTTGGAATTTCCTTTCTGACTTTTTGTTTAAGGTAATTGCAAGTAAAGGGTATGTTATTAAATTAATAAAGTGCTTTAATCAGTTAAGTGACATACGCTTGGGGTGTCATTTTCCGATTTTTGACTGACTAGACAGTAGTTATTCCCGCAGTAGGTTGCTATTTTTTTCTGTAGTAGACTGGTCGTCAATCAAGGCTATAGGACCCAGTCTGTCTTGGAGAGGGGGAGAGAAGGGGTGGATTCATATCTTTCCCAAGGATATTTGTGCTTTAGTAATTGTAATGAACCTGACTGGAATTCGAACTCAGCTCTACCGATTTCTCATTCTGAGCCATTATCCACTACACCACAACGAACAACCTTAGTTTAGTAAACGTAAAAGATAGTAAAAGATATTTCATAGATTTTCTTAATGATATGCATATTTATAAGTGTGCCCACGTTGCACGAATGTGACACAAGGTCAGTTTAAAGTAGGTTTACCGGCAATATCGTGAAAAAAATAGCTCGAGATTTCTCGGCACTTCACTTTTGTAGTATTCAAACTTATTGAATGCTAAACAGTTTTTAATTTACCCTTTTCTTATTTTCATTTTTTGAAGATCTACTCAAATTAGTGATTGAGTCTAACAACGCAAAAAGTATGTATTTTTATTTTCATTGGCCTTAAAATTTTGGCCAGTACTGCATATAATTCATTAAAAACCTACAGGTAAACCAGAGGAATGATTGAAATTGCTTTATTCTCAAAATTAGAGCATTTTTAACGGTATTGTGTTGACAGAAATTCCGCTATGATGTACACTTTTTTAAATGTTACAGCAGCAAATACACAAACAGAAAGACATCTTAACTTTTTAAACCTAGAACACTAACCATGGGTATATAGTACCCAGCGCAAAATTTCCTATTTTCAATTACAATTTTCAGTACCTGATTTTCTTACCTAAATAATGTTTTTCAGTTCCTATTAACGTTAACTCAAAATACAAAGTTTGAAGTGCCTGCATGTAAAATATTTCAAATAAAGATTTATATTTAATATTTATTTTTATATTTTCAAATTCAGGTATGATATAACCATGGTTAGTAGTGGTGTAACTTTAATTGATGGTTAGTGTTCTAGGGTTAATAATAATTATTGTTATCATTAGAAAGTATACAAAGTGTATAAACTTGTAATGTTTTTAAGTTTTTATTATTGATAAACGAAAAGAAAAAGGCAAGACAATGTGATGATGATGATGAGGAGGATGATGGCTCGGATCAATATTCCTGGAAGAGAAAATAATAATATAATGAAAATGTGGACATTCCATACTACTTCAAATTAAAGTTTAGGAAGGACCCTCCACCATTAACAGTCCGAGAAAGATATTTTCTTGAAAGATTGCTTTAAGCAAATGATTTTTAGAAATTTCAAACGACAGTAGGACTAGCTGCTCGGTCCATAAAAGCCAAATGTTTCCTTATAAAGAAACGGCTAATATTAGCATTATCATTACCATTCCGACTATAGTGCCTGGCTTCACAAGTGTTATATAATGCTATATTCGCATATATATATATATATATATATATATATATATATATATATATATATATATATATATATATAGTCGACTCTTCCGTCGAGATTCGACGTATGAGGGTCAAGCAGATCAGTTTCCAGGAAACCGACAGTCCGACACCGGCACATGAGATTTGATTATAGTGGTGAAGGCTTCGTGCAGGACCATCCACACTTTTTGAAGAGCTGAATGCAGAGAGCTGTGAACTACGTGTCCCAAGGTCCCCAAACGACTCTCCGCAGGTTTTGAATTCAGAGTTGTACTTCTCCTAGACCAGTTGCCATCCAAGGCTATAGAACCCAGTCAGTCCTGCTATTTTGCCCATAGCTGAGAGAGAGGAAGAGGATTCATACCTTTCCCAAGGGTATTAGAATGTAATATATATATATATATATATATATATATATATATATATATATATATATATATATATATAGTGCCTGGTTTCACAAGTTATATAATGTTATATTCACCCGCATATATATATATATATATATATATATATATATATATATATATATATATATATATGTAGTTAGTTAGTTAGTTTATGAAAAACTAGGTAATCCGTATGGGTAAACCTAAGTAGGATAAAATCCAGAGAGCTCAATGTAAAAAACCAGATCAAATAATTTAAATAAGAACTGGTTCCATGTGATAAATTATGAAAAACTAGGTCATCCGTTTATTACATGGAACCTTAAAAGTGGTCTGTTTTATTTAATTCATATATATATATATATATATATATATATATATATATATATATATATATATATAATGCCTGGCTACACGAGAGTTATATAATGCTATATTCGCCCGCATCTCTCTCGAGTAGTGAATCTTACTCAGTCTTAAAACAACTTGATATCTTTTGTTGCTGGGACTATGGCCCCATTTATTGACGTTCCTTGAGGTCCTCGTTCTTTTATCAGTTTACTTAAAATTGTCAATTAAGTTACTCGATGTTTATTATTTGAAAGGATAAAAATTAAAAATGGCGACCTTTTTATTATTAATACACCAAAATAGGATAAGGCAAGAGAATGTAATGTCGTAATGATGATGGATTTGATTAATCATATCATGGTTGCGTTTTTACAAAGATTTTCTGATTCCCTATTGTGGATGGAATGTTAATATCTTCCATTTAGTCATGTGTTTTAAATTTGGGCATCCAGCAGTCATTAGCACGAGGGAATAATCTATCTATCTATCTCAGTCTGTTATCTATCTATCTATCTATCTATCTATCTATCTATCTCAGTCTGTTCTTTATCTATCTATCTATCTATCTATCTATCTATCTATCTATCTATCTATCTATCTATCTCTCAGTCTGTTCTTTTTATCTATCTATCTATCTATATCTATCTATATCTATCTATCTATCTATCTATCTATCTATCTATCTATCTATCTATCTAAGTCTGCTCTTATTTATCGCAGTTGATATGTATGTAAACCTGTCTTCTTTAACCTTTATACATGTCGTTGCATAATCAGATCAATGGTTTAAAATGCTTTTGGATGAGTGAAGTCAGTGGATATTGGCGAAGACTATTCCCCTTCGAATCTCATGAACTGGCGCAACACAATGGCAAACAAAGAACGGTACCAGATAACAGAAACCTGATCATTAGAGGACTTTCAACACCAGCTCTAACTAAAATGAATATCATATGTAACTCGAAGAGAAAATATTGACGTGATGAAACTCCACACCACTCCAAACAAAAGGTTAGGACGGAAACTCCGATCAGTGCAAGAAAGAGCGATAACAGCTACTGGGTTTAGGAAACCGTTTTTCCTAAAAAATTATTTTAAGAGAAATGTTAAAAAATTTAAACCGATAGTAGTACTTGTTGATCTGTCAATGAATATGAACGGCTAATATTGACATTCTGTTATGTGCCATGCGTGATACACGTTTAGGTGATCATGTATCGAAAGATACATGACTGACGAGGCAGATTTCTTTAAATGAATGGATTCGACTAGAATTCGAACTCGGCTCTCCGATTCCTTAATCCGAGACGCTATCCATTACTCCACCGTACCTCCCAATATTAACATTACCATTATCATTAAGCTAACTAAGCTTAAACATTAAGCTTTATCAAAAGATGATGGGGGAAGATAGATTCATGCCTTTCGAAAGTAAATTCGTGATAGACGAGATAAAAATTTGAACCTCTTTCGACTCGACTATTCCACTTTCCAAAATAATATGACCGTAAGGTTAATGATAATCCCGTCCTGGGTATGACGATAAACTACATCCGCGTCCAGGGTAAGACGATAAACTACGTCCAACAGCAAGGCCTCAGGAGGCTTTGAGGATCGTGGAACCACCTCTTAATTGCTGGTGTTCTCAGGTCCAACCTGACCCGGGGTGGTAGCACCTGTTATGGTCCCAGCTGTGGGCAAATAGTTGACCCCGAAACTGGGGTAAAATGCATTATGAAAGTGTAAAACTAGGTTTTAATACCAGAAATACTTTGTAAAAAATTATTACCAGAAATCAATTTTTGAAGAAAAACTATTACCAGCAATACGTTTTTGAAAAAAAAAATATTACCGGCAATACATTTTTAAAAATTTGTTTCACCTTTTTTGGATAGACTTGTGACTAGCGACGAAAAATGGATCTTTTATCGAAATGTTAAGCATCGTAGACAGTAGCTTGGTAAAGGGGAAGGACCTCAGCCACGAGAAGGGAACTTCATGCGCAAAAGGTTTTTCCTTCAATCTGGTGGGATCGCCAAGGAATAATCCACTTTGAATTCTTACCACCTAATGCAACAATTAATGCCCAAATATACTGTCAGCATTTAGAGCGTTTGAACCAAGCTTTGAGGAAAAAAAAGACCTGCTCTAGTGAATCGAAAAGAGGTGATATTTCATCAGGACAATGCGCGACCCCACACAGCAAGAATCACGTCACAAAAGATCAAAGAAGTTGGTTGGGAGAAAATTCCTCCTCCACCTTATTCTCCCAATCTTGCTCCTTCATACTACCATTTGTTTCGTAGCTTACAGAATCATTTGGAAGAAACAGCTTTTGTAACACAGGAAAAGGTTGGAACTGACATTTGTGAGTTCTTCGAATCAAAGCCAAAAGAATTTTACTGTAATGGAATTAGTAAGCTTGTTAATAGATGTAAGGAAGTCATAGATAATCTGGGAAAATACATTGTTGATTGAATCTGTAATTAAATGTAACATTTGGTCACTTGTTTTCTTTATTCAAAATTCGGACAGAACTTATGGCATGACCTGATACTTTGGAAAGTGGAGTAGTCGAAAAAGTTTCAAATTGTTGTCTCGTTTATCACGAATGTTTTTGAGAAAGACATGAATCCTTCTTCCCACCACCATATTTTGATTAAATAGTAGGGTAGACTCTGATTGCTAAAGCCTTGGGTGTCAGCCAATCTAGAATGAAAATATTGGAGTAGGCACTGGAAAACCCATTCCATTATCTTTCACAATAGGTCTTGTCATTTCACAGAAAATAAAAAATGGAAGAGCATGGTATTAAAAAAAATAAAATTAAAAATGTCTGAAATAAGAATGAAAAGAAGTTAGTTACATTTAAATTTCAACTAATTAGATATACAGATAGTGTAGAGGTTAGCGACCTGTAAACTTGTAACCGAGTTTGAATTCTGGTCAAGTTCGTTGTATTCACTTTCACACATATATTCTTGAGAAAAAGTATAAATCCACCTCTTCTTTCCCTCCAGATATGGATTAAATAACAGAATTGACTGGGTTGTCTTGCATCGAAAAGGCAACTACTTTAGAAGGATAAATCTGAATTAAAAAATTACCTTGAAAGGTAATGAGCTTTATCGGGCTATCTTGCCCTAGACACACCACTAATGCTATGGCTGCAGTACATGTCAATCCCCCACCTCCGACAACCTTAATAAGCTACGAGACTCATGACGTGATTAATTACGTTATTGGCGAACACCTAGCAGCTCATGTTGTTTCTACTTCAGTGTATAACGCAACAGAGATTGTGGACACGTGTGGGAAATCCATAAATTTACAGCGTATATGGTTTCTCGTAGTTTGGTCTTTAATAAAATCATTTAAATAACACCCCCATAATTTCGAAAAGTCAAAAAAAAAAAAACAAAAAAAAAAAAACGTAATAAGTTACTAAAACGTGCCCTCTTTATAACATATAAATGTTGACATATGTAGAAATAAATCCAAGACAATGTCACAGGGATAAAAGTGAAAGTAGTTTTGTGTGTGTGTGTGTGTGTGACCTTCATAAAGTAATTAGACGTTGTTTCAGTCTTAAGTTACTTGTGGTTATACGATTAGTCATGTCGTTTGTTTCAAGTGAGTAGAATAGTACGTTATTGGCATTAAAGATCTTAGAAATTAACCAAAAAAAAAAAGGAAAAAAGCAAATAAACAAATTATGTGGCAGCTTCCAACAAAATAAATTTAATTAATACTTTTTAGACCTAAAGATAAAAAAATATCTCCCTATGTATACAAGTATATTTCTTCTTCTTCTTCTTCTTCTTCTTCTTCTTCTTCTTCTTCTTCTTCTTCACCCAGTATCTTCCTGTTTCCTTTCCCTTTCCTTTATTCTTTAATTTCCTTTTTCTTCGTTGTCTTTTCGCATTATTTTATTATTTCTCTCTTTCTTTCTCTACTTTTATTTCTTATCATTTTCCCTTTCACTCATTCTTCTTCTTCTTCTTCTTCTTCTTCTTCTTCTTCTTCTTCTTCTTCTTCAATATACCATGTCCCTTCGGGCCGTCGGCGATTATGACTCCACAATTTACTATCTTTCGGAGTTCTTAATACATTTTCTCTTTTTGTTATTTCTGCTTGCCATCCATTTTCTCAAGCTTTCAATCTGTCCCGTGAGTATCAAATTTTCCAAGCCCTCTTTTCTCACTACGTGCCGCAGAAATGTCAACTGTCTCTTCCTGATGTTAAGCATAAATGTCTTTTTGTTTTCCATTGTCTCTAAAACTTCCTCATTGCTCACATGTTCAGTTCATAGTATTCTCAGTATCCTTCTCTAGAACCATATTTCTGTTGCTTCAAGTCAACTCTTCACTTGTAAGGAGCTTGTCCAGTATTCAGTGCCATATATATTCCTAGGTCAATCGATATTCAATGAACAGAAAAGAGTTTTGAATGAAAATTTTCTATACTATTTGGACACGTGTATATCGGCGTGGAAATTGGCGCAGATTAGCGAGTCGAATTCAAATTCCAGTCTATACTGTTGCATTCGCTTTCACACAAATATCCTTGGGGAAAAATGTAAATATATGTTTGTCTATATCCCTGAGATAAAGTATTATGATTACTTGCATTATTTACATTATTCGGAATGTTACCCACATCTTCATTACTATATTCACAACGCTCCTTCTTCAAGTGAGTGGAATTTCAAGCATAGAAATGAACACAATATTGAAACCAGTAATAAGGAGTGCTAGAGAAAAGCAACGAATAACAACGCAAATTGCAATATAAGCTCAGTTAAAAAAATGAAATAATAATAACAGAAAAAATGCAATATGAACACTGGTAAAAAATAGTTGCTGTGACATTAGGTTTATAAGTCCCCAAAATTCATACGCGGATGTCCTCAAGGACACATTGCCCAGTGGATAAAGAGTTGTGAGTTCAATACCACAGCAGTGGTGAACCAAAAAGTTGAGCTGGAAATAACTGAGACGTGAAACTAGAACAATCTACATCCGGTGGACGAAATAAAGGGTTCAGGTTCAAAATTCTAATCACCTGAAGAAGACCGGTGCGTACAACTAATATGAACTTGTGAATATGGCAATGACGACGAGGATAACAGTCCAAATAATGTAAATAAAGCAAGTAATGAATATATGTCATCTTCCCCCACCGGCTTGGGGGTAATAGCAGAATAGATAACGTTCTCTACCCAACATTGCTGACATTGAATTTTGGTTGAGAGAAATACGACGCTGTGGAGACGTTATGTAACAAAGCAATCAACTGTTTTCCTCGACCCAAGTCGACTGCACATCCCCAAATTTGGCGCAACTTTATGGTAACATTGCGAAGTACTGTAGCTGAAAAAATCCGCTATTGGTCAATTATAATACCAGAATATTTTTCTTCACTTAATATGTACAGAAGATATATTTTAGTCATTTTACCTCAAGCAAGGCCATAATGTTACAAGGCACAAAGCGTTAATGAGAGTGAAATAAAATGTAACTACTGCTGATTAACGTTGCATTTAAAATTTTGAAGAACGTATGCGGCAGGTAAGAAAAAAAAATCGGAAGATGATTTAAGAGGCTAGAAAAGCCAGAAAAGAAAGAATTAGAATACAACATGCGGTTACATCTAGCTAGTTCAGCAATAAGATGGCGAGACCTAATTGCCAATCTAGTAATACGCTTAAATTCATGCAGTCAAGATTCCAGCGGTTGGGGAGAGCTCATTATAACAATTGCCATGGAAATATTTTCAAATATATAGAAAAGACACAGAGAAGTCATCTCACGGCGGTATGAAAGAGGGTGATGTCGAGATGCCAGGTTAGAACCGATAATGTTGCAGACCCTTTTTTGGATTTTGTTGAGAATCTCGAGATATATAGCAGGAGCACCAAACCAGATATGGTAGCAATATTCAATTCACGGACGAATGGTAGATTTATAAGGTGTAAGTTGGATTCTGACGAGAAAAAAATTGTCTAGCATGACGCAGTGAACCAACTTTGCTAGCATCAGACCTAGCAATTGATTCAAAATAATCACTCTACTCCAGGCCAATGCAAGCGTGAGACGAAAAAAAGCACAATGGGTTATTCTACGGGAGCTTAGCATTGGCCATGCTGTTGGAACGCATAAAATTATTTTCGAATTTTTTTTTAAAACCGTGAAAATCACTAATTCCGATGATGAATGCACGTTCTAATCTCTCACTGATTTTTATTATCCATTTTTCTGATAATGCAACGTTAGAGGTTAACGTTTCAGAAACGTTATGGGGAGTTTAGAAAAAACGTATGTATATATAATGGGGCAGTAACGTTGTAGCAACAACATCATAATATTGTTAGCTGGCTATCTAAATCAGATCATAATATTGTTATCTGGCTAGCTAAATCAGATCATAATATTGTTATAAATCAGATCATAATATTAGCTAAATCAGATCATAATATTGTTAGCTGGCTAGCTAAATCAGATCATAATATTGTTAGCTGGCTAGCTAAATCAGATCATAATATTGTTATCTGGCTAGCTAAATCAGATCATAATATTGTTAGCTGGCTAGCTAAATCAGATCATAATATTGTTATCTGGCTAGCTAAATCAGATCATAATATTGTTATCTGGCTAGCTAAATCAGATCATAATATTGTTAGCTAGCTAGCTAAATCAGATCATAATATTGTTATCTGGCTAGCTAAATCAGATCATAATATTGTTAGCTGGCTAGCTAAATCAGATCATAATATTGTTAGCTAGCTAGCTAAATCAGATCATAATATTGTTATCTGGCTAGCTAAATCAGATCATAATATTGTTAGCTGGCTAGCTAAATCAGATCATAATCAAATTTGATTGTTCATCGAATATTGATTAACCTAAAGAATGCTGGACAACTCCTTACAGATGAAGAAGAAACTTGAAGCAACAGAAATCTGGTTCTACAGAATGATACTGAGAATACCATGGAACGAAAATATGAGTAAATATATAGTTTTAAAGAAAATGAAAGAAAGAACATTTATACTTAGAAGCAAAATTGTGCAAAATTAAGGTATTAATATCATTCAGTATACGTATTTTTTTTTATACAAGTCAAGGTCAATATACCTGTTCTACAATATATTTTATATAGTAATATATAATATATATACGTGTAGAAAAATCACGTGGTAGAGATAAACACTCAGTTGTGGAGCAAGCTAAGTGAATAATAATCCAACCTTTAGAAAGAGAGCTATTTATGGTGCAATGGAGCATCTCATTGAGCTAAAGTGGGATAGTCCATTGCTTGGGCTGTGATTGGCTGCTGGTAAATGAGTGGAGGTATTTCTATATAAATACCAGCTTGATTCATCAGTTAGTTTTCAGGGTTTGTATTAAGTTACAACCTGCTTTATTTTTGTCTGCCAGCTGGACGCTAGCTGAGACCTTTACGCCGGTAAGTGCTGTTTATTATTGTTATTCTACAATACTTTAGTATATATTAAAATTCGAACAGCTTAATAATTTCTTCGCGTTGTGGTAGTTATTGGTTCGGACTGCGTGCCATTGGAAACTGCTTGGCGTGTCACGTGTAGCACGCGTGCCACGTGTAGCAGGCGTGCTGTAGGTTGCTGACCCCTGTTCTAGGGCACATAAAAAAGAGGGCGTGGAAAATTTGATACGAAATCAAATTTCTTAAAGAAGGACAATTCTGAATTCAGAAGTTTACAATTCGTAAAAACCTACTTGCTAAGTTAACCACAACAGCAACACCCAGCGTGCCGAGGCTGTGGTCTAATACTATACAGGGGAATCTACAAAGTTAATACCATGACATTCAATAGTGTAAAACGCAATATGACTTTATATATTTACTAGCCGAATTGCACGCGCCTTGGTGCGTGTCACACGTGTCTTTTTGCAAGAAAATGATGATTGATTTTAAACCATTGTTATAATTTGTGGAGAAAATGATGCATTTCAATATTGCACAATGATCTTGCCGAAGTGACCTCCATCTTCTGGCTTTCTCCTTCTATATTTTGGATAGCAGTCATTCCCTTGTACAAATTTAATTTAAATCACGGGGGAAAAAGTACTTTGGAGGGGTGTACCCCCCGGGGGAACACCTTTGATGAAAATGAAATATACTTATCCAAGTACCCTAGGAGTCATTCCCTTGTTCAAATTTAAATTTAATTTATATCAAAGGGGAAAAAAGTCAGTGTGTGTGGGAGGTGCGCCCTCCCCCGGGGACACCCTTTGACCAAAATGAAATATACTTATCCAAGTATCCTGGGTAATGTAGTTTCAGAATATATACATGGTTAGGGGGGCTATCTCCAAAACCCTACGAGGAGTTCGATAACAAAGAAACAGACAAACAGAGGCTACAACTTTATAGATATAGATTGGTTACATAACATGGGCTTCCTATAATAATAATGGGATATTCTAATGTTAAATAAAACGGATAACAAAAAGTTAATATCTCTTTCGTCGGTCAGGTTGTCGTCGTCATCATTATCGTCATCAGTCCCATGACCGAGTGTGGTCGAAGGGTCGCTAATGTTTTTTGCACTGCGGTAGCAATTTGCGCAGTAGATTAAAATAAATATTTTATTCCCCACCATGACAGCACAAGTTTGTATACAGCAAGAATAAGAAAGAGAGAAAGAAATCAGAATTCGTTTGGTATGTTCTTCTCTACTCGCCATGTTCACATGACCTTACACCAACCGATTATTACCTTTTTGGATCACTGCAAAATACTTTGATTGGTGGGGTGGGGAGGAAACTTTCTCTAATGAAAACCAGATTAAAGAGATCGCCGAAAAACGTTTCACATCAAAAGCCATGGAATTGTTAGCCAAAAAAATGCACCAAAGAGCTACCCGATAAGTGACAACGGATCATTGCAACTAAAGGGAAACATAATTGAATAAAATGTACTTGATTTATCTTATGAAGTTGATAAACAAAAAACGGAAATTACTTATGACTCAATATAATATTTGCTCATCCATGCGTATTTGTATACATCTAGCAATCTGTGTGAGCGTTTTTGCGCATGCGCGCGATCGATTATGCATAACGAAAGACAATAATGAGAAGAAAGGAAAGATATCATAATGAAAGGTGTAACGACCAATTCCCAGAATGCTTCATTGTTTTAGAAATAGAAAAATAACAAGATAGACTCGATGGTCATATTAATACCCTACACCACTCTCAACCACAAAAAAACAAAACAAAACAAAAAAACAAAAAACAAAACAAAACAAAGCAAAACAAAACAAAAAAAAACGCTTCCATCAGTTTTCCTTTCTTAGTTTAAAAAAAAAAAGAAAAAAAAAAGAAAAGATAAGCTGGTCAAGTGTCGTTAAGCTATTAATAGATACTTACTCATCTCTGACACGACACTAGAGGAAACGCAATTCCAAGGACACGCAGTCACGTGACAGGATTAACCAATTAAAAGTGATGGTCGTAGCTGGAGGCGATTTGGTGAACAGGATCAGCCGACCATCTTTCTCTCTCATTCTCTCTGTCTTATCAGTCAGTCATTTTTTTTCTTTCCTCTGATTAGTTTTTTTTTTCTGCCTGTCTCTCCTCACATTTTTCTCTCTTTCTCTGTGTTTTCCTGTCTTGTTAGTTGATTTATTTATTTTCCTTTCTTTCTTTCTTTCTTTTCTTTCTTTCTTTCTTTCTTTCTTTTTTCTCGTCATATCCTTTTCTTTTATTCCTTTCATTTTCTTTCTATATTTTGGCTTTATTCTTTTCTCTTTCTATTTGTCAGGAAAATCGGAATTTTTGATTGTCTTTCTCTCTTTCCAATTTTCTTTGTTTCTTTTTGCTTCTTTCTTTTTCTCATTTTCCTTCTGGTGACACCCTTTTCTTTTTTTTTTATTTCACTTCTTTCCTTATTTAGTTAAGGAAACTAAATTTAGTTTACTCTCTTTTCGCTTTTATTCTTTTCTCTTTCAACGTGTATTTTCATCAAGCAGCTTCACTTTCTTTCTTTCTTTTTTTACTTCCTTTCTTTCTTTCACGCACATTTTTGCGAAGCACGTTCATCCCTTTCGTGAGATATGCTTCACTCGAGTAGCTTCACCCCACAAACCTCTGCCTTATGGAACCAACTCCCAAGAAGGTAGCTATCCCGATCACTACAATCTTAACCTGTTCAAGTCTAGGTTCAACCATTATCTTCCACACATATCCACGTAAGCTGTTTCTTACCCTGTAACCCTCTACCTCGAGTGGCTCTCGGGCCTCGTACAGGGTGAACATCAGTGTAAAAATAAAATCTGCTTTCAGATTGTTAGAAATTATCACTCTTCTCTTACTTTTTACATTTTGTGATTTATCAATTTCTATTTCTTTCTTTCCCACCCTTTCCTTTTTTATTATATATTTCCACCCTACAACCTCTTTTCTCCAGGCGAAATATTGCGAGCCCCAAGCTTCTCTATCATTGCTTCCATGGTATGTGTTCTGATAAGCTACATTCCTTAGCCACAAAACCCTGACCTTTACAAATGGGGCCCGACATGCCACGTACACAAGGATGAATCATCCTCATTTCCCTTCGTATTCTATTAGTAAGGAGGAAGTTCCATTCGGACAGCTTCTTCCCAAGAACTGCTGCTTTGTGGAAAAAACCGCCAGGGTGTTGTCCCAAGCACTACAGTCTTGACCTCTTCAAGTCTAGGGTTAACAGTTATGATTCATGCATAGCTCGTGAATTTCACTTCTTGCAATGCTTATGCATCACCACACAGTAACCCTTTTGATTCAGTGGCACTTGGGCTGTTGGGTGAACATTAGTATAAAGAATTTATATACATATAGAGAGGAGGTACGGTGGAGTAATGGATAGCGGCTTAGATTGAGGAATCGCAGAGCCGAGTTCGAATTCCAGTCGAATCCATTACATTCACTTACGTGCTAATACCCTTGGGAAAGGTATGAATCCTCTTCCTCTCCCTCCAGCTATGGATAAAATAGCAGGACAGACTGGGAGAGTCGATTATATATATATATATATATATATATATATATATATATATATGTAACTATACTCGTCTCGAAAAACCTTCGAATTTTTGATTTGCCAATAATCAAATCAATCTCGAAGGAAAAAAAGGTTTTAAAAAAAGAAAGAGCTAGAAACATGAAAGTCTGTCGAAAAAAAATCGCACAGATACAGGTTTAAAGCCCAAAGAAAAAACCCCGACACGAGTAAACAACTAACTAAAGAGCTCAATACACCCGTAGAGCAGACCTAGATACCCCTAGTGAGCCAGACAAACCTACCCAGGTTTCACCTAAGCGGATCGTCACGGAAAGCTAGGTTTGACTATATATATATATATATATGAACTGACCACGTTAGTGAGGGTTAACATCCTTTCCAAGTTCCATTTCTTTAAAAATCTTTACTCGAAATAAAACCGGTTTAAGAAAACAGAAAAATCGACAAAATTAAAGAATCTAAATATATATAAAAGTAGAAAAAGAATCTGTTATATATTTTTGAAGCGGACTAAAGCAATGTTTCTCAAATGGTGCATCTCGGTGCACCCGGAAAATGTCTAAGTGCGCCCTGTCATTCCAGAGAAATATGTGTCCAGATATAAGAAATAAAAATATTTACTTTATTATAATGCGGTACCCGTCTCGGTCATATTAACGTGAATTAAACTTTTCTGCTCTCACCACAATTAAGTGCAAAAAGAGAGGAACTCTTCAATGTATTGAGGAAGCAATGAGAGTTTGCTTATAAAATATAGACCCAAACATTGGAGAAATCTCTAAAACTCATCAGGCTCATGTTTCTCATAAACACAAAAATGAATAAACTTAGGGAAGGTTTCATTCTATATTTTCTTTATTGCATTATTTGTTTTGTGCAATATTTGACTTGATTATAACATATTTTTCCGAAATTTGAATACAGTGCGCCTACAATTATTGGTAGGATTTCGAGTGCGCCTCGATTTCAAAAAGTTTGAAAACCACTGGACTAAAGGAAATGTTCCAAAAATGTAAAAAAAAAAAAAAAAACAGTTAAAAAATGATGCAATTGGTCAAGAGCAGGAGCGCAAAAAATAACGACATTAAATATATTTAAGCAAAAATATTAAATTCTAAAATTAGAAGAAAGGAAAAGTATAAGATTTGCATGCATATCATTTTTTCAGTGATATATATATATATATATATATATATATATATATATATATATATATATATATAGTTTATAGTTTATGCAAAACTAGGTAATACGTATGGGTAGACCCAAGGAGGATGATATCCAGAGAGCTCAATGTAAATTCAGAGCAAATATGTTTGAATAAAAAACAGACCACTTTAAGGTTCCTATGTAATAAATTATTTCACCACAGCCCTTTTAAAGGGCTCTGGATCATCAGACTTTACTTCCAAGATTTTCAATTGGTCTGTTTTTATTCAAACACACACACACACACACATATATATATATATATATATATATATTGTTATGGTCTAAGTACCACGGTGATGGTCCAAGGTTAGAACCAATGAAAGAACAATACGAACACAGGTATGGGATACAAAGATATATTACAACAGAAATATAATACAAAGAAGTAGAAGTATTAGTAATGACTATCAGATTTGGTTAGAGTGAACTATGTTGTCTCGACAAGTATCACTATTCCAATGCCCTTACAATTATTTCTCCTCGTCTTACAACATCCTCATACCTCTTGAGAAGTGCGGTATTTATAATGTCAGGAATAGTCCATTATGATTATGGGTAAGTTCATATAATATATATATATATATATATATATATATATATAGATAGATAGATAGATAGATAGATAGATAGATAGATATTATTCATTTTGCTCCAAGCAAGGAAATAAAGCCACTAAGACGTAAAGGGTTACTGAGTGAGAGGTGTGAGAGAATATGAGAGAAAAATCAACATTAAGGAGAGAGAACAATAACAAAAGAACAAGAATTAAGAAGACAGAAATTAACGATTGATATCTCACGAAAATATTTGATGATCAAAGTTGACTGGAAAGCAAGAAGCCGGAATAGAGTTCCACAAGCAAGAAGTGCAAGAAAATAAACTGCTAGCATAGAACTTATATCTGCACACACACGCAAACACATTATATATATATATATATATATATATATATATATATATATATATATATATATATATATATATATATATAATCGCTCCGTTGGTATATAATCCGGGTGAATCCTAGTAATATTAATTATTAAAACTGATCCACAGAGAGTTCAATGTTTGATCTTAACAGAGCATATGTATTTTTTACAGCAATTTGGTTTTTTTTGTTGTAATATATATATATATATATATATATATATATATATATATATATATATTCTGTTTATACGTTATTTTTATAGATACAAATAAGTAAATGCTCTGTTTACAATAAACAGTATTAACAATATTTACCGACCTGAATGTCAAGAAATATCGTAGAACATATGTGTCCTACGACAAGAACCAAGCCTGTATCCTACACGGAAACGTCATTTCTCATACATTCAGTCCGGTAAATGTAATTCATACTATTTATTATAAACAGAGCATTTAATTTAATATTTGTATCTATAAAAAGAATGTATAAACAGAAAATTATATAAATACATATATATGAGGGGGCATTGAAAACACTCAGCGGTATTTGTCTGCTTCTTGAATAAACGCAAGAGTCATAGTCTGACGATTGTATTTAAGCATGAAACAGACTGATATTGAGCACTTTAACACATAAATATAGCATACCTTAAAATTATATTTTATCACACACACACACACACACACACACACACACACACACACACATATATATATATATATATATATATATAACACGCGTGCACGCCCACGCACACATATATATATATATATATATATATATATATATATATATATATATATATATATATATATATATATGATTTGGTGTTAGTCAGAACTTCTGGCACTGAGTTGTCTTCATTTGGCAGAGTGAAACAGCTAAGTCTAGCGTATTGCTTTTTTGCGAATGTAAACAAATGCCAACCAGCCGGAGTGCTCTATTCATTTTCTTAAAGAGGTTTCATTAACGCAGGTGGCTGTTGTTTATAGAATTAGCTTATCACTCAACAATGCTCAATTGAAATATATTTTAAGAGGTAAATTATGTCATTCGCAGACAGTATTCTTTCGCTGTAATATATATATATATATATATATATATATATATATATATATATATATATATGATAAGGTAAAGAATAAATAGGAAACGTTTAACAATCTAACATGTTTCACTTTTATTAAAGCTTCATTGGTGAATGAGATATGGAGAAAAAGAAGAAATAAATTATGGAATTTTTATTTTTGGTTGTTTGAATTTCATTGATTAATCAGGTTTCACATGCATTCGATTCTTTAAACTAACGTTAGTATAATTTGTGGAGTTCAGAATTCAAGGAAAAACAACGTATCCATTTAAAGTTTGAAGAAATTCACGGATTCCATAGCTAGCTGTTAAAACCGCAAATATTGCCTTATGTCTTTGAGCGCATCATGATTCTAGTGTGTCTATGTAAAATTCAGATCATAATGTATATTCGTAAGTGTGTGTGTGTCTAGTAGACATTATGTTTGTTGTTTTGTTACATGTTGATTTAGGAACGTTTTTACATACATTCCTTTTGTTTTAGATAAGTTTATCATACTTATTATAAAACCCAGGTTGTGTGTGTGTGTGTGTGTGTGTCTGTTTTCGTTTATATATGGGATCGGAATTCCTACATTTTTCAACCGATTTCAACAAAACTTCACTTTTTTTTGGCAG